ACTGTAAATTGCTTCATGTAGACCCTGGGACTACTCCTTTCATTGTTGGACATTAAATATTTTCTAATTTAATTTAAAAAACCTTTCAAAGGACAGAGGGAAATTTCTGATTGAAGTCTTGTTTTCTTTTAGCAGAGCAAATATTTGCCTTGGTTCAAGAAACAGTGTTTGAGTTTCAGCTTTCTCTTTTAGCAGCTTGGATGGTGTCATCATACTGGTTTTCATTGGACACTTTTTTTTTTTCTTCCAGAAAGTATCATCATACTGGTTTTCATTGGATGCTTTTTGGTTTTTTTCTTCCAGAAAGGGAGACTTATTATTAAACTAATATTAACACCAGCAATCTGCCTTTCTTTATGAGGCCTGTCGTATAAATCCTAAAAATAGCCTGAACACAAACAGGAGGGGTGGGGGCATCACTTTATTTTTTTCAGGGACCAGTAGAAGAAAAAAACTTCCTGTTAAATTTTATTCTTGATATCTTGCAGCATTTGCACTCTGGTAGAAAGGGCTGGACTATTTTTTCTCAGTTTTGTGCTGAGTGTATCACATAGTAGAGCTTTACCCTGGAGTTCCACCATGTGCGGCTTGAAAGCGAATGATCAGACTCTTCCACTTGTTTGTTGTGACGATTTCTTTTTCCACATCTGAAGCTGCTGAATTAGTTGATGAAATTTTTTTTCTTTTTCACATTGATCAGCAATTGCTAATGAGTAGTTCCATTTGAAACTAAGTCATGTAACAATTATTGAACCAGATGAAGATAGAATTTTTCAAATGGCTTATCAAGATTCCTTCTGGAGTCCACATTGTTCTGACTTGTCCCCGTAGCAGCAAAAGTAATGAATTAGTGGGCAGAATATTTATTAACACCGCTACGTGCAAATCACGAGGCGGCTTCAGAAAACAATGCCTGCCGTTATGGGAAACATAGGAAAGAGAAAGACTTCTGCTTGAATATATAAATGTGCGGAGTCATTTTAGAAGTACTGCCTCTATGGGGGAGCTTGCCCACTCTGACGACTAAAGCTCTGCATTTCTGTCTGGAGCAACTTTGCCTGTCAGCGATCCTCTCAGATGTGTGACACTTGGAGGAGGACCCATGGGATATGTGTCCAGTCCTCACACATGACAGTGTGACGGCTGCCCCGACACCAGAGGAGTCTCAGAGCAGCCTGACTTTGTGTGATTTTTGGTTAGATGTTGGTTTATATTCAGATTTTGTTTGGTAGCACTTCTAGAGATTAAGTAAAGGTCTGTTACACCATATTTTCCTTTTCATATCTTTATGCCATTGGTTTTTAAAGGTAAATGTAAAAGTATTATTTTAACCCCTGTTATACTTCTGCTGTGGCCCATATTTGATGATTATCTAAACTTGTTGACTAAAAGAACTTGACCTGCAAATAGCTTTAGTATTCATTTACTCATTCATTACTTAGTAAAGGTGAAAGCAAGTGGGTTCATGATAGGTAGAAAAAAATGTAAACAAATAATAATTCAGTAATATTAAGAATTTTTCACTTATATAATTGGTAATTTTTTACCTGTGAGATTGGAACCATCACAGTGACTTAATCAGTGCTGTCTTTTGTGCTAGGCTGCACTGGCAAGTTATGCCCTTATAATTAAGAAAAGTTCACTGATAAGCTTGACAAAGATTATTAAAGAATAAATTATGTGCCCCATTTTGATGAGGGGATAGCCAAACTCTGCTCGTTTGAGTTTGAATATGAATTCATATTCAAATGGGAATATGAATCAGTACATCCAGGGCAACTTGGTAGCATAGATCTAAAAGAGAAAATGCAAACAGGACTTACAGATGAGAGGTTACCCATGCAGAGTTATTTTTTTTCAATTAACTTCTTTTAAGATAACTGTAGATTCACATGCAGTTGTAAAACAGAATACAGAGGTCCCGTTGTACCATTCGCCCAGTTTCCCCAGTGGTAGCGTCTCACAAAATTATGGTACAACGTCATGAGCAGGGAATTGACACGGCTGCCGTCAAGACAGGGAACATTTCCGTCACAGGGACCCCTCATGCTGCCCTTTTATAGCCACACCCGTCCCCTCCCACCTCTGCCTCTTCCTCAACTCCTGGCCACAAATCTGGTCTCCATTTCTCTAACTTTATTATTTCAAGAATGTTTGAGTACTTTCCAGCCACAGCCAATTTTTCCTCTCCTTCTGGGACTCAGTGACTTGAATTTTCTTTTATTATAGTTCCTCAGGCCCTGGGCTCTGTTCATTTTTTTCAGTCTATTTTCTATTATTCAGGCTGGGTGATTTCTGTGATTCTGTTGTCTGCTTCACTCATTCTTTCCTCTGTCCTCTTCCTTGGTCTCATCCACTGAGTTTTTATTTCAGTTATGACATTTTTAAGTTCTAAAAATTTCCATTTGGTTCTTCTCCATATATTCTGTGTCTTTGCTGAGACTTGCTGTTTTGTTGCCGAGGCCTCTTCTAATTTTTCCATCATTTCCACTGCGTTTGAAATTGCTCATGGAACATTTTTATCATGGCTGCTTTAAAATCTGCCAGATAATTCTCACATCATCTTCTAGGTATTAGCCTCTGCTGATAATCCTCTTTAATTCGGCTTGAGTTCTTCTGGGTTCTCGGTGTTGTGTGTCTTGGGTCTTCATTAAGCCTTCTGTTTTAGCCGGCTTTCCTGACACCACTCTGGCAGAGGCAGCAGGTATGCTGCCAGGTGGAGGGAGATCCCAGGTCCCCCAGGCAGCCTCGTGGGACACCTAAGGTTGGGGGGGTGGGCGCCACTCACTGCTGGGTGGGAGTGGGAGTTCCAGCTCCCTGACATCATGGTGAAAATCCTGACTGTCCACAGGCTTTCCCTGATGCCACCCTGAGGAGAGGGGGAGGTCCAGGCTCCCCATGTGGTTTCCACTGACCCGGGAGCAGGGGTCTGTGGTCGCCTGTGGGAGTGAAAGTTCCAGCTCCCGACTTCGCTGACATCACCCTGGCAGGGGTGTCGGGCCCAGGCTCAGAAGGGTGGAAATCTGGGCTCCCCATTCAGCCTTGTTTGGCAGCAGTGTGGGGAGGCCAAGGCTTTTTTCTGTGGTGTTTGGTTGGAGTAGAATGGTTATTGTCTATACGTTTTCTGTCTTGCAAGGCCGCCCCTTTCCTGCTCCTTTGACTGGAAACAGGTTTTCCTGGGGCTTTTTCTGCACCTCTGGGTGCTCCTGGGTGGCAGTTTCTCCAGCATCCAGTCCAGGGTATGGGAAGCCAAAGAAAACCCAGGGAACTCATCCCCGTGCTTCTCCTCGGGTCCAAGACTCATAGCAGCTCTGCTTTCTTCTCGCTCCTCCGGGAGCCTTCTTGTATGCGTTGTGTATAATGCCCAGGGCTCTGAGATGTACTTGTGAGATAGGGTAAAAGTAGGTCTACCCCATCCTCCTGTGAGTCTGCGGAGTGTTGCCTAGTGTCTTAAAAGTATGAACTGTTTTCCAGTTTAGTTCCTTACCTCCACCCTTGTCGCTCCTCCCTTAGTTATCCCCTGACCCCAATCTGGATTTCCAGGTGCTCTTGAAACATTAGAGGTTCTGGCAGTACTGGACTTGAAAATCACAACATCCACCCCCCTTCACTTTTCCCACTGAGGCTTTGTTAGTTACCATTTATGGTTGGTACTGTGGTGTCACTTGGCCTCTGTACTCATTTATGGTAACTGGAAGGCATGGGGTTTATCTGATGCAAGGTATTGAAAATGTTCATGCTCTTTGACTTAGAAGTCAACTTCTAGGAATCTACCCTAAGGAACTAATTAGAGATGCCAACAGAGATTTATATACAAGGATATTCGTTACAGGCTTGTTTATATAATAGTGAAAAAAAATGCAGAGAACCTAAGTGAAAATATCCAGGTATGCTAGAATACAATGGTGGTATTTAAAAAATCACATTTATGTGACATGGGAAATGCTCATGATAAATGAAAAAGCAGGATATGAAACTGTTTATACAGTATTATCCCAGAGCTTTCTAAGTCTCAACTTCTGGAAGAAAATTCACTAAAATACCAACAGTATTAACTCCAGCTTTTAATTTTCTTCTGTATATTTTTCCATACTTCACAAATTTCTACCATGAATTATTGTTATGCTCAAGAAAATTTCTTGAAATATTTAAGAATGCTCTTGAAAATGTTTTCTGCTGTTATTAAATGAGATGTAAAAGAATGATACATGAGACATTTGGGGGTATACTCTGCATACATAGAAAGGTATTTCCCATATACACACAGAGTAAATAAATGGGAATATGTCATTCTTTTTGCTAGGGATTTTGTACTTTGATAGCAGCATGCTACCTGCATATCATATTAACGTGATAAAGTGAAGGATGAAGTGATTTAAAGATGGTGTCCAGCTACTGACTTTTATAGCTTTTCAATTTGTATAGTATTTTTTTTCCAGATCTCTTTCCATGTCAGAAAGATGCAGAGTTCCTCATTTTCTTCAGTTATTGCAGTACAGGATCATGAGCACACTATGATTTTTTTTTTGTTAATTTTTATTGGCGTATAGTTGCTTTATGACGCTACGTTAGCTTCTACTGCACAGCAAAATGAATCAGCCATACATATACATATATCCCCTCCCTTTTGGATTTCCCTCCCATTTAGGACACCACAGTGCATTAAGTAGAGTTCCCTGTGCTGCACAATTTGTATAGTATTGCTAAAGAGAAAATCCTTACCACCACCAGAGAGAAGGCAGCAGTATTAGCTGTCCTCACATCATTAATGTCGTGTTATGGATCCAGCACGTTTTAAGAGGTTGTGTTTACTTTCTCTGTGGAAAGTTCTCCTTTCTTTATAACATCAGTCACTATCATGGATTATTTCAGATTGCCATGAAGAGACAAGCTCACATTTTCCATTTGTGTGATAAGGGTATTTGAAAGAAATGTAGATAGGTATTTCTCTGGCACCAGTTACAGGAACTTGCTGACCTGATTATTTATCTTTTGTTTAGTTTGACCAAGCGGCTGATGCAGAGTTAGCCTGGATTAGTGAAACAGACAAAAAATTGACATCTCTGGGTGACATCAGGCTTGAGCAAGACCAGACCTCCGCTCAGCTGCAGGTTCAAAAGGTGAAGACACACATTTCCAGTTGCATCTACATGGCTTGTCAGTGTGCTCCAAGGAAATGCACTTGCATGATTGAATGTAACTTGGTCATTTTAACTGCTTTGCCTAATTGTTTTTGTTTTAGTCCTACACTCTTAAAAAAAAAATCTTTGTTTTGGTAAATACAGACATTCACCATGGAGATTTTGCGACACAAGGATATTATTGATGAGCTTGTTAAATCTGGACATAAAATCATGAGCACATGCAGCGAAGAGGAAAAGCAGCCGATGAAGGTATGATCTCGTCCACGTGACTGATGTGAGACTTGTGAGCAAACAGCATGTGTGGGGCTTTCACTCTGAGAAAAGCGCTTTTCCTTTATCCACAGCTGCTGTTTAAACAGCTAAGTCATTAGATTCAAATAAGGCATTTTTCAAGCTTATAGAATAAGAGTGAAAGGAATACTCCTTAAGGGAATCACCCTGGGGCTAATCTTTTCTAATAGACAGAAAAGCTGGTAAGGTTTGAGTCCTTGAGTAACTGGGATACATTAAGCATCCAATTAATGTTCTCTGTATTATCACTGTTATTATCAGTATAAATTGTTATTCTGTATGTCAGCTGTTGTTTATTGGCTTCAGGAACATTGGGGCCGCTGGAGCTGAAACAAAACTCAAAATATGTGGTTCTCTCTAACTGAAATTCATTCTGTATAAAGTTACAGTAATCTGTATAGGAAAAAAAGGAGCAGAATCATTAAGGAAGTATTCAGTTTATGTAGTTTTAACGATCCTTTACATTGATGGAAAACCAGCCATAAATAAAAATGTTTAGTTCAATTCATATTCAGACATCTGAGAAGCCTAAAGAAATTAATATATATTAATGCTTCTGGTAGGAAAATATCCCATGGCAAAAACAATATATACAAATGTATATGCGTAAAATCACATTTAAAAGACGGTGCATTGTTTTCAAGGTATACCATAGGCAAATAGTAGAATGTGCACTGTATATTAATACTTAATCTTTTATTTAAATACTCTTCAGTGGCACTTCACTTGTTTATAGTTTAATCTTTCCTTTATTATTTTTGTGAAGATTCTGGTGTGAAAAATACAGATGATCATGAGAGAATTTTTGTGTTATTCTGTGGTTTATTGGATTGCTGTTGTGCTTTATCTTTTGCTTTTGGATTATGAAGTGAATTCGTTCCATAATCGAGATCTCTGTGACCACCCCATAAAATCAGTGGATAGCATAATGTTCTATTTTGCTTCTCATGTATTTAATTAATTTTGCTGACCAGCAGCTCCTCTTAGAATTTCATTTGTGAAAGAGAGTCCTTATGTTTTAACAGAAAGTAATGTCAGTGTTGCCAGGCTCATGCCAGACCTTTCTCTCACCTAGAAGACCTGGAAGAATGGCTGGAGAATTTTGCTTATTGTGTTTGGAGAGCTCAGTGTCTTAGTCATAAAAACTTGAGGCTTTTTATTTATTTTATTTTTTGTGGTTTTGTCACCTAATTTTTTTTTTTTTTTTGAGAAGTTCTCCATGTCATCAAATCCCCTGATTTTTGACAACTGCATAGAAGTCCACTGCAGGAATATATCATCCTTTATCAGCCTGACCTCCAGTTGTACTTTCCAGACATTTTTTACATTTTTGCTGTTTTCTACATATGTATATGCAATTTTTTTTATTGTAGTAAGAACACACCATTAGCATACAATGGAATATTATTCAGCCTTGAAAAGGAGGGACTTCCTTATGCAACAACATGGGAGGGCCTTTCTTTAATTTAAAATGAACTTTTATACATAGAAGCAATTAAAATCTAACTAGCCTCTGTTGATTTATTCATTTACCATGCATCGTTGAGTGCTTACTCTGCACCGGGTATATTGTGCTGGACAAGCATTCTGGAGTATATATATGTGTTCCTTGGCCTGCCTGCCCAGTTAAACACATTTTGTCATCTGATTTTCTAGAAAAAACTGGACAAGGTATTGAAGAACTATGATGCCATCTGCCAGATAAACTCAGAGAGGTATCTGCAGTTAGAACGGGCACAGTCCCTGGTTAACCAGTTCTGGGAAACATATGAAGAACTTTGGCCGTGGCTGACAGACGTACAGAGGATCATCACTCAGCTTCCTGCCCCTGCCCTGGAGTATGAAACCCTGAGGCAACAGCAGGAAGAACATCGTGTAAGCTTGGTGCCAGAGAGAGTGCTGGAGACCGCATGGAAAGAGAATCACGATTTTTAGGGTGTTTCTAATGCAGACACCTTCTGTGATGAGGAAGTTTTTAGCGTTCTGGTCTGCACAGTTTGCTTACCTCCGAGTTGCTGCCCTGTTGTCCAGTTTTGCAGTGGGACGACTCATGTGGGCAGGAACACTGTGTATGTCATCATGATGTCACAGCTTTTACCCAGTAGTTTGCAGTGTAAACTGAGTACAGAAACAAAATCATTGTTTTAAAATGTTAGAGAAATAAGCTTTCGAGGTACTTTCAGCTGATCATGTTGAATTGCTTTCAGTGTACACTAATTTGACTAATATATAGTGGTTAGAGCCATCCAGAATGTAAGCGAAAGGTAGCAATACATGGAAGCAACATCAAACAGACAAGGACATTGAGCTTGGAGAAAATGTACGCTATAACAAATACATCAAAATAGCATTGTTGTAAAATCGAATTCTGTGAAAAGGAAAAAATGCTGAAGTTTAAAGACAAATTGTCCCCCCACTTTTTTTTTCTTTTCCTTTTGTACATGGAAATATTTTGAAGTTCTCTGCTTCTATAAGTTTACATGAGTAAACAAGAGAGTATATTTCCATCTACAAATATGTCATGTTTTAAACACATAAAATGGCATTATGAGGCCCTCATTTCAGTAGTCTCCGAAATGTTAATGTAGCTTAAAATTTTGCAAGGGTTTGAGTGAGAGGATTCAAGACTGTCATAAGAAAGTCTGGAATTCTTGTTATTTATGATCTTGTGAACCTAGTTCCTCTCCCAGATCTGTACAAGATGTACCCTGAGACTAATCATTGTGTGTGTGCGTGTGTCAAGTTTAACTCAGGATATATTACATCATTGTTTGAAGTATGTAACATACTTATTAACCATTTGTTTACTTTTTTAGTGTATTAACATTGAAGAATATCTCTAAGTATTTGTTTAGAAGCGCTTTAGAGAACACTTTAATGCAAAATGGAAATTTTATGGTGTTCTATCTAAATAATTCAGTGGGAGAAAGACTTATAAACTATGTATAATTAAATTTAATTTTAGGAGAAACGTTATTTTTAGGAGAAATCCTGATGCCTACCCACTGAATGATTTTTAGTATAAAATGTTTCATGGATTTCTTCTACTCTGAAGTGAGATCTGAATAGCTGTTTTCTAGCATAACATCAAATAGGACGAAAAGGATCATTATTGAATGGAAAATTTCAAAATTGAGTTAATTTTCTTGTTTGGCATCGTCTTTCAGTTCTCAAAACAAATTTATGATCTTTATTTAGAAAGGGAGCTTCAAAACTTCGTAGCCAAGTCTTCAAATTGTTCAAGCTAAATTTTACAGAATATTTGCAGCATTTCTTCTGCAACTCTACAGCATCCTCTTCACTGTTCTTGGGAACATCTTCTAGTTCATTCTAGCCAGGAATGAAAAATGGCCCTGAGAGCCATGTTATAAATAAATGGTAGATCTCTTTTAAGTTCACATTAAGTATCTCCAGCATGAGTGGACTCTTAGGATAGCTGCCAAGAATCCTTTTTAACCATGAGGCAAAAGACGTCTCCTGCTGGGCCCTTTCTCCATGTGCACACATCCCCAAGTAGGTATCCTGTGGCTCTTTTCTTGTCTCTCATGGAATGGCCTTAAGAAGGCTCATCTGGCTACCTCCCAGCAAAGGTGTCTCATGGTGATGCTGCACAGGTGAGATCTACTTAGACTCCAGGCCACTCAAGAACTTTCAGCAGAGATTCCTCACTTTACTGAGAGTCTCTTGGTAATCAGAGTGTGAGCTTGTTTTCAAACATGCCTTCGAGAATATTGAAGCCAGAGCTCGTGTGACACGTTTCTTCTCCATGAGATTGCATGGTGGCTGGTCTTACTGTCACCACCTCCACTCTATAAAACAGCATGAAGATACCAAACAATGTAAAACACAAGTAGGAAATCACAGCCTGGACCACCCAGGGGCTGTGAAGAGCATGTTAGATTCAGTAGACGTTCCTCCTTTTTTTTTTTTTTTTTTTTTTACAAGTTGAATTTGTGTTTATTTAGCTCTTTTCCAAAAGAGTTTTGAGACCGTCTTCAGAAAAACTTCAAAAATAGGGATAGTACATTGGGGATTGTTCATGATGTAATGAACCAGTTTTCTCAACCACTTTGGAAATAATTTATATGACTGATTTTAGTGGTACTTTTAATAAAAATCCAGGTATGTGGCCGTCCTGGTGATTCTGCTTGATGAATGATGGAAGTTAAAATATTTACAGGGAAAGATCGCTTTCGTCTAGACTGTCTCTCCTGAATATAATTTCTCTCAGAGAGGCTTTTCTTAGGGGCTGGATAGCAAACAGTTTGGAGACACATCTTCTGGTGAGGACGAGAAACTGCTGATTAGGGAACCTCGCGAATAATGGAGTACAGTAGAGGACACCTCAATGCTGCACGGAGGTCTGCCCCAGAGAAACCTGCAGGCAGTCACGGGAGACCCTGGATTCCGTGGAGTGTAAAGATTCCAGATTGATCCATTTCCCTAGAAGGAATGGGGCTCCACCTGGATTCCACACCCCCTCATTAGCATCAGTATCATTGTATCTCTTGATTAGATGATACTGTATTATGCATAATATTCATAGGTCACATATTTTTCCTTAAATACACTTTATAGATAATGCTCAGTATACAGCTGTGTATTTGATGGATTATCATTGCAGCCATTAACATTTAAAAATAAATACAGATAGATTTGTTTATGTTTATATATCATACATATCATATATGTACATAGAACAGACTCACAGATATATAATGTAATATATATGGACATATTTTGTATTGGTTTACATATAATGTAATGACAATCCCTTGGGGGCTTAAATCCCCCTAACTTAGCTTTATCTGTCATTGTTCTCCCTCAGCATTGTGTCTACCTTCTACTGTGCTTTTTTCCTCTTCCTTTCTTCCTCTCCCTCCCTCTCTCTTCCTTCCTTTTGAATAGTTTTTGTATGTATCTTGAGTGTGCAGAAAGGAATACAGAGAGTTATGGCTCGGTCTCTGTAGGTTGGGATGTAGTGAGTTCATAATCCTTTCATGTAATATGACCCTTGGCTAATACTCTTGTCAGACTGTACTGCTCTTGGTAGGAAAGGCGTAATGAAACTGGGATTCATTATTTCACTCATCCAGCATTTTTGCATGTGCCCTGAAGAGGACTTTGACGTGACCAGACTGTTGTTTAATCTTTGTGTCAGGGGATCTCTCCCTGGCAGAGGGTTGTACGTTCAGTGCCTTGTGATGGGAGGGTGTTTGTGTGGAGTTTCTTGCCAGCTGGATGCGCTGCGGATGTTGACAGCTGTACTGTGGAGGTGTGCCTCTGAGAAACTGAGACGCTGTTTGCTTTGTTATAGCAACTGCGAGAGTTGATAGCCGAACACAAGCCGCATATAGATAAGATGAACAAAACTGGACCGCAGTTACTGGAATTGAGCCCGAGGGAAGGCTTTTCTATCCAAGAGAAGTACGTGGCTGCTGACACTCTCTACAGTCAAATTAAAGAAGATGTCAAAAAGCGGGCTGTGGCACTGGATGAAGCCATTTCTCAGTCTGCTCAGGTAATGCTTTGCACCAGCAGTGCGATGGTCTCCCCGACAGCAGAGTGTGGAAAGACATTTCCCGGATCTGCTGATTCAATTCCAGCTAAAATTGTTTCACTGCATTAACTCTGAGTATTGACATTTTGGTCTCTGAGGTGATATTTGCCAGTGTCCGATCCTTATATTTCTCTGCCTGCTTATATATAAATAAAACATAATTTTCAATGATTTAAGAAGCATACAGCTGTCATCGTTGTCCAGATACCTAAATAAGTGTCCATCCAGAGTAGAATGCAGTGTTTGCCATTGGAAGAGTTGAAAGAAAGTGTTACTATCATCATTAATGAAACATTCCGAAGACGGCAATAGAAGGAAGACTATGAATGCTAGGCTGAATAAGAAGGAAAAAATTTGCAGTTGGAAATCGATTTTTTTTTTTCGTTTTGAAAATACCTTTTTCAAGAAGTTGATTTGCAGTTACCTACAGATTTTCCATTTTGAAGGTTTTGGTTTTTATCGTTAGATACACTGGCATGAGAGTGGTCCATTTTCTGTAATCCTGACCGATGATTCCTTTAATGTTGAGGATAGTACGGAATCTATAAATAAACAAGTGTTCGTAACTTTGCTTCATTGTCTGTGGTGCCTTTGCAAGTGGAAATTTAAGATTCTTTCATGGATCTGACTGTGTGTTTGGCCAGGAATTAAATATAAACTTCCATTACAACATCAGGAAGGTTTCTGGTTTTTTTTAAATTTTTTAACATTTTTTAGTTCAGGAAACTCATAACTTAAGAAATCCCTTTCATCTCATCAAAACTGCCCATGAATTTTACATTTAATAATATAACTTTTCGAGGATGCCAAAATAATCAGTAAAAGTGAATAAAACTATCAGTGTTGATAGACAAACACCCAGATTATTGAACCTAATTTTCAAAGTTAATTTGAATTATGGTAAGATGAAACACTAGTAAAATGCTGCTGTCAAGTGGTCCAATTATATATTAACATATACAGTTTCTTAATGAATTTACTCAGTTATTTGCAAGAAGCAGTCCCATCCCCACAAGCAGTGTGACACAGAGAGGTGCTTATGAGTTGTGATTTTAGGAATGTCTTCACACACCAGCTGGATATAACTCTTTGGATGGATGTGTTAACAGAAAGGCCAAGGTTTCATTCTTGACTGTGACATTAGATAGGTGTGTTATCATTTTAAATCCCACCCTTGGCATCACAGGTCTTTCCCCCCATAAATGGCCCTTCTCTTTTACTCCCAGTTCCACGACAAGATCGACCAGATCCTGGAGAGCCTGGAGCGTGTGGTGGAGCGTCTGCGGCAGCCGCCTTCCATCTCAGCAGAGGTGGAGAAGATCAAGGAGCAGGTCAGTGAGAATAAGAACGTGGCGGTGGACATGGAGAAGCTGCAGCCTCTGTACGAGACCCTCAGGCAGAGGGGAGAGGAGATGATCGCTCGGTCCCAGGGCACTGACAAAGACATATCTGCCAAAGGTAATCCTTTCAGGATGAGGGAACCACTGAACTTTACTCAAAACAATTGTGAATGTTCCTTGACAGTCCAGTTGCATATCAACACGCCAGATTTTAGAAAAGGTATTGCAGATGTGACATGTTTGGGGTGGAAGGGCTGTGCACACCAGTCCCTTGTTAATGTCTTCCTGTGTTTGTGAAATCAGTTGAGTAACTACAACATGTGCCATGATACAAAAACCATATGTTCTCCGGGCCCTTTAAATCAGTTGCTTAAGCATAATGCTAATAAGACCAAACCTACGGGTATTTTTTCCTCTGACTACACGACTTTATGTCATGGGTACTCTATCCCATAGCCACAGAAACGGCAACCAGGACCCTAGCCAAGCACCTTAAATGTCTGAGCTGGGGTCAAAAGGAAGGGCCTGTGCAGAGGTCAGTGGAAATTCACGGTAAGAGGATGCTAGAAGTAAGCCCAAAATATGTATCCTACTCTGTTGTGTTCCTGAGACTAAGCAGATATCTCTATTCTTGATTTGGAGAGGGTAAAGAATATACTAAGGCCAGCCTTGGTGAACTCAGGTCTCCCCTGAGTTCACATGCCTCTGGGCATTGTCTTTTGTCAGGAAACCTTGGTTCCGGAGGAGCAGGACACCCTCAGGTCCTGTATTTGCCTAGAAAGGCCGTTGGGCCCAGTGATACCCAGTAGGCTAGGCTCAACCCAAATTTGGTCCAGGTTTAGATCCTTGGAAAATTGAATGATTGTTCCTGGGTGAATGAGAACGTCGTGCTATATTGCTTAAAGGGTGTGTCTTTTTGATATTGTTCTGCTCTGTAGCTGTTCAGGATAAGCTAGACCAAATGGTTTTCATTTGGGAGAACATACACACACTGGTGGAAGAAAGGGAAGCCAAGCTACTGGATGTGATGGAATTAGCAGAGAAGTTCTGGTGTGATCACATGTCACTGGTGGTCACCACTAAAGATACTCAAGACTTCATCAGGGATCTGGAGGATCCTGGGATCGATCCCTCGGTAGTAAAACAACAGCAGGAAGCAGCAGAGGTAAGCAGAGAATCTCATTTAAAGTTTAAAAAATAGGGCTTCCCTGGTGGCACAGTGGTTGAGAGTCCGCCTGCCGATGCAGGGGACACAGGTTCGTGCCCCGGTCCGGGAAGATCCCACATGCTGCGGAGCGGCTGGGCCCGTGAACCATGGCCACTGAGCCTGCGCGTCCGGAGCCTGTGCTGCGCAATGGGAGAGGCCACAACGGTGAGAGGCCCGCGTACAGCAAAAAAAATAAAATAAAATAAGTTGTGGTAGCATGAATGTTGGATTCCTTTGGTATAAATATTTGGAATTACGCTATTAAAATTTATATTTGGTTCTGAAAGTGGAATGCACAGAGATGTAGTAGGGGACAGAGTCCACCCACAGGTTTCCCATGGAGAATGTTTATTTAGAAAGTTTCTCTCCATCCCCATTGTTTCTGCCTTACTTCGGGGCCTCATCCTCTCTCTTTCTTGCCTAAGAAAGTAATCTGAGCGGATTACTCAGAAACCCCTCCCTGTGGAGTCTCTTTTCCCGCCAGCCTCTAACCTTTTTGCCCATTGTCCCTCTAGATCTCCTCTTGCTCTCCTGCTGGTTAAAAGCCCTCAAGGCGTCCACTGCCTACTGCCTAAAGTCCAGACTACCTGGAACACGGTATCAGCCTTTTCCATCCCAGCCTAGCCCAGGCCTGTGTTTCCAAAGTTATTTTTTTTTCTACTGCTCCTTTACCAAGCTCCTTCTCTTATGGCTTTCTCTGAAGCTGCCGTGCTCTTTCTAGCATCTGAATCTTTGCACATTTTATTTCCTTAGCCTAGAATATCTTTCCTGCCACTCTCCTTGGCAGATCCCACTCAAGCTTCAAGGTTCAGTTGGGTTGCCAGCCTCCACCCTCTTGTATACTCAGCTGAGTTAGTCCATCCGTATAACATTCTCATCATGCAAAGGACTTAACACAGAGTATGACTTATCGTTGACTGTACCTCTGTCTTTCCCAGTGGACTCAGAGCCCCTTGAGTGGAATAGTCATATCTAATTTTCTCTGTATCTCCGATGCCTGGTTTGGGGCATGTTCATCCTTGGTAAATAAATGCGTCTTGAATGAATAAGTGTATTTAACCAAGAAAATGAAAGCAATGTAGAATACTGCATTTCTGTCATAGTTTTTGTTTGTTTGGTACTTTACATGTCCTGAGGTAAAAATGAAAATCTAGAGTTAGATTATCCTAAATCTACTAAGCAAATTACATTAATTTGTGTGAAGTCTCTGAACTCATATGATACTTATGTCTATTTTAAATGTGTATTGCCAAACTAGTTGGTTTAAAAAACAGAAACAAAATGGCTTTCCATGCTTTTCAGTATTGTCGATTTTTTTTTGAAAGACTTATTCTGGTATATGTTACATGGAATTATTTCCTAAATACTGTCTTTATAATAAGCATTTGACATTTGTTTCTCAAAGGACACTGTTTTTTCTTTAAAATGGCTCTTGTGTTCCCTTGTTGAAAAAATTTAGTGCCAAAACTTAGAAAACAGAATGAAGAAAATAAAAATTGATTACAATCCTGCCTCCTAGAAATAACTACCATCAATGTCTGTGTGCATCTTTTTAGTTTCATTGTGGTTTGGCTTAAAAGTAAGGCTGTCATTTCTTATTCTAGGTCATAAGGGAGGAGATAGACGGACTGCAGGAAGAGCTGGATATGGTTATTAACCTGGGTTCTGAACTCATTGCCGCTTGCGGGGAACCCGACAAGCCCATTGTTAAGAAGAGTATAGATGAGGTACAACCTGCATATTTTCTACTCTTATCAGAATGGTTTTCTAAAAGGATTTTTCTAACTAAAGCATATTTGATAGAAGTAGTCGGAAACTTAGCATATGATACTGAAAGAGTTCTAATATTTACATTGTAGTTAAATTCAGCCTGGGATTCTCTAAATAAAGCTTGGAAAGACCGGGTGGACAGACTTGAGGAGGCAATGCAGGCTGCTGTTCAGTACCAGGATGGACTGCAGGTAAGGCTTGCAGGGTCTCCTGGAGGGAGGGATCAGGTGATAAGTGATGCTTACAAATTCACGCATCAGTATGTCCCCGGAGCTGCAAGTGTGATGCAGTTAACTCACCTGCTTCAATTCATGCTTTGCCTTTTTGAAGATTTCTGACACTGTACAGATTCATATACACACCTAAACACATTCTTATACACACATTCAGTGAAATTTACTTTGAAAAGAAATATTTTAACTTTTTAAAGTGAAAGTCACAGTATTTTTCATAAATGGCTCAACACCAGACAGTGAAATGGAGCTGAGTCTGAGTTCTGCTCTAGTGTTGAGTGGAATAAGATGAAAGGGGTAAACACTATCTAAAAATATCACTAAGTGTAGCACAAGTCAGATGTAAAGAAATTTGATTTGAAGCCAGTGTTCCCGGTGAACTAAAATAGATTTCTATTTTATTAGGTCATAATCTGTCATGCAAAAAGTGTTTTCTTCTTTCCCATGTATATAATTCCTTTTAATGGTTGTTTTTCACATCCCTCAAGGGCTCTCATTCAGTTCATTAACTAGTTTTTAAGTTTTTTTTTTAATATTAAAAATTCTCCTGTCAGTTGAGGCCAACTCAGGGATATTTCTCTCCCTACCTTCCTTAACTTCATTCCATTTCCTAACAGAGTGGCAGCAGTTGAATCCTTCATCCAACCAAGCATATGGAAAAGGCCTCTCTAAGTATTTCCATAACATCAAGAGAATATTATTTTTAAAGCTCAGATGAGAACATCTTTTCCCTTTTATTAGGCCACTTCATTTCTATATTTATAAAAATAAATATCACAAGCCCAGCTTTATGCCAGCACAGAGAAGTGGTGTTTTTTTTTTTTTGCTTTTTTTAAAAACAATGATCATATTTTATTTCATTTTATTTTATTTTATTTTATTTTTTTTGCGGTACGCGGGCCTCTCACTGTTGTGGCCTCTCCCGTTGTGGAGCACAGGCTCAGGACGCGCAGGCCCAGCGGCCATGGCTCACTGGCCCAGCTGCTCCGCGGCATGTGGGATCTTCCCGGACAGGGGCACGAACCCGTGTCCCCTGCATTGGCAGGCGGACTCTCAACCACTGCGCCACCAGGGAAGCCCAGAGAAGTGTTTTGAACTTTGCAAATATATAAAAAATTCACTACAAGTGACACCTTATTATAACCCCCCCACTCCTTTTTTTTTAACCAAAGTGATAATTTATTGGTTGGATAGCAGTGGCCAGTAACCAGTCAAGCTCTACGTCCATCTGTGAGGCCAGATCGTGATTTTCACATTCGTTTGGTGGGTCACAGAGGTTGTATCCTCTCCTGGGGCTGGAGATGGCTCTGCCACCACTGCACCCGTTAGCCCCAGGAGGTCAGGGTCACAGCTGGACACGAAGGCTTGTCTCATCACCGTTGCTAGAAAAACAAGGCCCATCACAGGTCCTGCTAGTCCTAGGTCAGCAGCATCACCTGTGTGGGGATGAAAGGCAGTGATGGATTAAAAGAGCTGTAGGTAAGTGTCCAAAGCTGCAGACACTCCAGAGGTTTCAAGGTTTGATTGTAAAGTGAAATGCATTTTATTTCCCAAGTTGCTGCTCAAGTTCTTAGGGTTTATCATGATCAGTTTAAACTACCAGATATTTCCCAAGGTTTTTTTCTCAGTACTGTATGGCCTGGCAACTTCATTAAATGGCAGAATAATTTTGTGTATTCAGAACCTGAAAAAAAAAAAATGTGAGTGGAGCCTTTTTAAAAAAGATTGTTTGTGTTGCCTAAAACGAACAAGAAGATAGGAGATTTTGAAGTTCTGTCGCAGTTCAGAATAATGGTCTTAATCATTATACGTGCAGGATTTTAATGCTAATCTCGGTAATACAGAAGAGTTTACTTGAGACAGATTGTTTCACGTGCCAAACAGTAAACTTCTTGATTATTTGAATGAACAGATGGGTTTGAATCTTTTTCTTTCAATATATTTATACAATCTGCCTTTTAGTCAGACAGAGTACAGAGAATTTTATTCTGTGTGGTGAATTTATAAAACTTTTTTTTTTCAAATAGACTTTTCTTGAAAGTTCTCAGTATTCTAAGATTCTATTCAAGATAGAATTTCTTCTGCAAATTTGGATGCAAAATTAGAGGTTTCATCTATTTCATATTTGGGATAACTGTTCCAATATATTGCCACTTTTACCTTATTTGTAAAACAGGCTCATTGCTTAATATCTTTATAGATTTATGATTATACTTTTCTATTGCACTTGAGGTGTTGTAGTAATCTCAAATATACTGTTATAATAACATGACCTAACGTGTTTTTCAGGCAATATTCGACTGGGTAGATATTGCAGGTGGCAAATTGGCTTCATTGTCTCCAATTGGAACAGATCTTGAAACTGTCAAGCAGCAGATTGAGGAGCTGAAGGTATGGGTAGGGGCTGAGAAATTCATCAAACGTTGCATTTTTAAGTTCTTGATTCATGGGATGCTTTATGCAAATTTATTTTATATAATTGAAGTGTTACATTTTGATTATGGAACTGGTTTAATATAGTGCCTGCACATAATAGGTTATGTATAAGTGCTCGTTAAATAAAGGATACAAAATACTAGTAGTTTTTCTTACTAAATCAATTCCTGTTCATTATAGAAAAATCAGAAAATGCAAATTAGCAAAACAAAATGTTATGTAACGAGAGTCAAGCACTCGTAAGATTTGATTTATAGCCTTTCATATATCCTCATACTGGGTGTAGGATGAGGTATGGGTGTGTGTGTGTGTGTGTGTGTGTGTGTGTGTGTGTGTTCGACATATTACATATGTATACTATACTGTAAGGATTTTTAGAACTTTATTATTCTGTAGTGTGTTATTGTCACTGATACATATACAGCAACATTTCTGTTTCCTTTGTTGTGTTCAGAGTCATTCAATTAGTCCAACAGGCTAAAGAAGGATCCCGTGGGTGGATGGGATTGGATGGGATCATAGTGTTTCCCAAAATGTTTGTTTTGTAAATGCTTGTTGTTTCCCATCTGCTTTCCTCTGTAATTTTTTTCCTTTGTGGTTCTTGATCTCCAGCTGTGAAAATGGCTGAACCGTTTCCTCTGAATTCCTCTGTGCTGATGCTCATTTATCAAAGTGGGAGCAGCTATTTCCTCCCTAATTTTAAAGTCTCTATCTACAGAGACATCACAGCCCTTTCAATGAACTCTACTAGATTTTTACATAAAATTATTATCTGGCTTTAAGAGAGTAGCATTTTTATCTCTAAGTGTGATATAGAATATTTCATTTAGAAAAAAATTGTTTCTTCTTGAGAATTTTACTGTTACCATCATTAGATGGTGATTTTTTTTTTTTTACTCTGTCTGCTCATGTAGTAAACACATGATATCCTTTATGTACAATTACAGGTGTGGAGGAGGGTTTACTTTGGGTTTTACATATATCTCAGCAGTTTTCATACAGCGCACTGGATGAGGTGCTTGCCCTGAAATCAGGTGTCTGAAGTTGCATCTCCCTTCATCCACTTACTAGCCAAATGGCCTCAGAAAAGTTGTCTAACTGCTCTCACTTCTGTGTCCTTAGCTTAATTGGGGATAAAATGATTTTCTTTATAACTTTATTGAGAACAACTGGACTATATAGCAAGTGTTCACTATGCTTTTGTTATTATTTTTAATTATTATTTTAACTTGCTTGAAAAAAATTGAGACTGCTTAGCCATTAATTGTTTATTATTTAATTATTTACTATTAGAGATTAAAATCAATACTTTATGAAAAGACAGTTTCCTATTATATGTAACCACTGGCTAACCTGTATTGGTTGGCAAAGCCAGGATTATTACCTACATGTCATTAAGCACCAAGTGAGAGTAATGTTATTCTGAGTCAGTGCAAAGGATAAATAAATACTAATAAACACAGCATAGCAGGGAATTCCCTGGTGGTCCATTGGTTAGGACTCAGCACTTTCACTGCCGGGGCCCGGGTTCGATCCCTGGTCGGGGAACTAAGATTCCCACAAGCCGCATAGCACGGCCACAAAGAAAAATAATATAAATAAATAAATAAACACAGCATAGCTACAGAAAACACAGAGTGTTCAGTGACTGCAAGATGTGTGTGTGTTTTGAGCAGGAAATATTAATGTGAGTTTCTTAGAGATTTTTTTTTCTGGGTTTCATATGTCAATATATATTTTGTTTTCTTCCTTCCTATAATTTCAGAACTCATTTATTGAATATGTATAATTAGACACTGGAAGAAGTTCATCCTTGAAATTTGTTAGTTCTTTATTGTAGAGAACAGAAGTGAAATAGCAAAATTATAAATAAAAAATCATTCCATCAGAAAACGTTGAATGAAGAGAAAAGATTTCTTTTTTTAAATTTAATTTTTATTTTATACTGGAGTATAGTTGATTTACAATGTTGTGCTAGTTTCAGGTGTGAGAAAAGATTTCTTTTCATCATTTTTTATCTACAGTTTTTTCATCAGTAAACCCTGTGTTAGATTTTATTCCTCTTCACCCCAACCCAATAAAAAGTATGAATTAGAACAAACATCTAACCTGTAGAATTTTTGTTTGTTTAAAGTTACTGAAGAGAACCTGCTGTATAAAAATATAAATAAAATAAAATTCAAAAATTCCAAAAAAATAAAAAGATAAAGTTACTGATGTATAACAAATTTTCCTTGTATGCCTCCTTTTTTAAAAAATAGCAATTTAAGTCAGAGGCGTATCAACAACAGATAGAAATGGAGAGACTGAACCATCAGGCAGAGCTCCTGCTAAAGAAAGTAACAGAAGAAAGTGATAAACACACTGTTCAGGACCCACTGATGGAGCTGAAATTGATATGGGACAGTCTGGATGAGAGGATCATCAATAGACAGGTAAATACCAATTTCAGGTTCATATAATAATGTAAAATAACTGTTAAAAAGTAAAATTAGGGGATCCTGGACATAAACTTCAGAAGCCCCTAAATTCTTTTATTTCCTTGGAACTTTTCCTGCTTCTCACATGCTGTTTTTTTAACCACAAAGTTTCAAACGTAAAATATATGAGGATATGATGATTGGGCTTCACTGGATTTGCTTAAAGACTTATGCAGCATGAAGCAATTGAACAGTTCACTCTTGTTTTATAAATGTGGGTCATCCATCCTATCAGACTCGTGGATCGATTGTCCTCCTCCCCTCTCTGTCTGCAGCACAAGCTGGAGGGCGCTCTTTTAGCACTGGGGCAGTTCCAGCACGCACTGGACGAGTTGCTGGCGTGGCTCACGCACACCGAGGGCTTGCTCAGCGAACAGAAGCCTGTCGGAGGAGACCCCAAGGCCATTGAAATTGAACTCGCCAAGCATCATGTACGTAGCTGTTACTGCATCCTCTCTTTCTACTCTCTGCATTTCTAGTGTCACCAGATGTTTCTGGTCTGCTGATTTTTTAGGCATTTATGGTTTTAACCCATGTTCCTATTTGACATTGGCAACATAAGGTTGAACTACTTAAAATGCACTTCTTAAAAGGTGATAATCGGGCTTCCCTGGTGGCACAGTGGTTGAGAGTCCGCCTGCCAATGCAGGGGACACGGGTTTGTGCCCTGGTCCAGGAAGATACCACATGCCGCGGAGCGGCTGGGCCCGTGAGCCATGGCCACTGAGCCTGCGCGTCTGGAGCCTGTGCTCCGTGATGGGAGAGGCCACATCAGTGAGAGGCCTGCGTACCGCAAAAAAAAAAAGGTGACAATCAAAATGTTTTTCTCATCGGTCAAGGCAGTTATTGTCAAAAATAGCAAGAATGGGGAATTTCTGGCTAAATGTTAGGAGGACCGCATGACCAACACTGGAGGTTTAAATTTCTGATTATACCTGTGCTTGGATGAAGGTAACATAGTTTTAAAAGCTGTAGGGGGCAGCCTGGCAAGTCACAGTTGTCCTGCAGGCTCTGTGTGTGTGTTTCCTCTGGTCACCCTTCCCTCCATGCGTCTCTCCCTTGCTGCTTTTTGGCTTGTCATATATTTCTGTCTGTCTGTACATCTCTCATCATGTTGGGGTTTGTCCTTCTGTTCCTTTCTCTTACTTTTCACTGGCTTTTTGTGTCTTAGTCCTTTTCTTTCCGAGGTAGTTTTTTAAACTATTATGTTTAGAAGAGTTTTTACATGTCATATACTTGATTGGAAGCTTGTAAGTGGAAAATTTTTATCTTGAGATATATGCAAAATAGTTTCATATGTTGTCATCTTTGTGGCACTTGGTTGATGATTATTAACAGAAAATTCCCCGTCTTAAGTCAACGAGACTTAATGAATAGAATTTATGCCCAATAGAGTTTATCCTGACATTCAGCAGGCTTTCATAGAACTTTTAACATACACATTATAGTGGTATCTTACTTAAAGTTAGGTCCTTAATCCTAATCTTAAATAAGTTTTCCTTGAGTATCATATAGAAACATTTGATTATTTTACATATTATCAGCATTTTAAAATAAGAGGTTTATAGCACTTTAAGATCATATTTTTGATTATTCTTGCTTTAGTTCTTCTTCCTTTATGTGTTTCCCCACAGTAATTGTTCCCTAATTTAAATTTTTCTTCCTTTTTTACCTCTTTCTGTCTGTATTTATAATCATTGCCCAGCCATATCTGATTAAGCAATTAGGACTTATTTTGCATCATTAATATTTGTCCTCATTTAATATCTATATTATACCTTTGCTAAGAGCAATATTGACCAGTCACACTGACTCTGCATGTAACCAAAATGTTTATTCTCATAGGGTGAGTTTATAGCATTTACATTTTACATTTTACATAAACTCAGCCATTGTCCTAAAAGTCACATACATCAGTGACAGGAACTTTGTAGAAGATGGTAGAGGTGGGAACATGCGGCACCCTGGTCCAGTTATTTTGGCGGAGATGAGTTAGGGACCTTTAGTTTCCTTTAGTCAGGGATCTTTTCTCCTTCCATTTCTTTCTTTTTAAAAAAAAAGTATTGAAATATAGTTGATTTACAATGTTGTGTTAATTTCCGCAGTACAGCAAAGTGATTCAGTTATACATATATATTCTTTTCCATTATATTTTATCACAGGATATTGAATATAGTTTCCTGTGGTATACAGTAGGACCTTGTTGTTTATCCACCCTCCATATATACTAGTTGGCATCTGCTGGCCCCAAACTCCCAATCCTTCACTCCCCCGCTCTGATTCCATTTCTGAAGGTCAAAGTTCAAGGACTCAGAATTGCCAGCACAATTGCTGGAGGAAGGGAGGGAAGATTCCCATCCCTGTCCCGCCTTCTTCTCTGGCTGCTAGGCCGTGGCTTATGTAGCAGGGCTCCGACCATTTATAAGAACGAATTTTATAGAATTATCTTTTATGTTTTGACTGTGAAAATATTTAACTCCTACCTTTTGAAAGTGGTGCTTACGTTAACATATCCAAGTACCTGCTTCTTATAAAGATCACTCCTTACTCAGTTGATTTTATAGCTTTTGAAAAACCTCCCTCACCAGATGCCTCAGAACACAAGTGGATGGAGTCAGAGGAACAGGGATCATGGACAGTTCGTGCCCTTGGCTGAAATCCTTCTGGTCTGGGTTTCCCAGATGTGGGTTGTCCCTTCCACGACGACAGATGACACTCCTCTTCTCTCCTGTTGCCAACCCGAGTCTGAGCGTAGAGGGAAGGGTTATCACAGACTTTTACCAACAATAGAGGAAGGTTTCTTCTGGTTTCCAAAAGCATAGCAGTCTTCTTGAAAGGAAACTGTTACTAAGCTGTATTTGTTCTTTGAGGTAATTCTTTTCAGTATAAGAAATTGATTTTTTTGGCCTGCAGTTGTTTTTTGCACTTACCACTCTTGCCCCATGTTAGTGCATTTAAGTGTTATTAATCTATTCTTATATTTCCACCGGATAATAGAATAAGAAGGCATTATTTACTGGGATCTGTCATAGGCATTTCATATCTTATTTTCTAGTAAGAGAACAGCTAAATCGTGGAATGCTGGACTCACGTATTCCCAGGTAAATGGTGAA